GTGGAAAGGACAAGGTGAAATAAGAAGCGGTGATAATTATACAGTATATTTCGGAGGTGAACGGGCTGAAAGAGGTGTGGCAATAGTGGTGCATAAAAGTGTAGTGAGGAGTGTTGTTAAGAAGATTGCTCGTAATGACAGAATTATTGCTCTGAAGTTAAAGGCGGAACCGGTAGATAGAATGATTATGCAAGTGTACATGCCAACATCAGAGTATGAAGACGATGAAGTGGAAAAAGTGTATGACACAATTGAAAAAATTCTTCAAGAAGATGGAAAAGGAGACACAAACGGCATCATATTGGGAGACTGGAATAGCATTGTTGGAGATGAACCATATCAGAATATTGTTGGATCACATGGACTAGGAAGATGGAATCACAGGGGTCAAATGCTTATTAACTTTTGTGAAAGAAATGGACTGATTGTCACCAACACTTGGTTCAAGAAGCCAAAGAGAAGAATTTACACATGGAAGGCACCTGGGGATTGGAAGAGGCATCAGCTGGACTACATCCTTGTGAAACATCGATTCAGAAACAGTGTGAAGGATGTGAAGACGCTTCCTGGGGCAGACATTGACTCTGACCACAACTTGCTGGTTGCCAAGTTCCGAACCAGGTTGAAGAAAATTATAGGATTTCGAAAGCGCAGACCCAGATGGGATTTGGAGAAGTTATATGCTCAAAGACAAAGCGTGCAAGAGACTCTAGAAGAGAAACTCGGTGCAATTGAAGGTGAAAGCGGAAATGCTGAAGCGCAGTGGAACGATATAAAAGAATGCATGTTAGATACTATCAGTGATTTGGTAGGTAAAGTTGAGAAGATAGCAAGAAAACCATGGGTTACACAGGAGATGATGAGTAAAATGGAGGAACAAAGGAAATGGAAGAATGTCAACAATGAAGAAGGCAGGATGAAATACAGGAGACTGAGGAATGAATTGAAAAGAGCCACGGACAGGGCCAAAAAGGAATATCTTGAGAAGATATGTAATGAGATTATGGAATTTCAAAGAACAGGCCGTTATGATTTGATGTACATGAAGACAAAAGAACTAGGATGGAAAGAGAATCATGGGATTCAAAATGTTGGCATCGAAGACTCCCAGGGGAATAGAATAGTAGATCAGAGGCAAGTGCTGAAAATTTGGGAAAATTATATTTCAGAACTATATGATCGACCTAATCGGCCAGAAACCTTAGAAGTTGAACCGGAAGAAGAAGTAGATACAGACGAGAAAGGACCATATATTTTACAAAGTGAGGTGGAAAAAGCTATCAAGGAAATGAGGAAGGGAAAGGCTACAGGAGATGATGATGTACCTGGAGATGTGCTCAAGTTACTGGGAGAAGGTGGTTTGAAAACACTGACAAAACTAATGAACACCATATATGAAAGTGGAGAGTGGCCCAAGGACTTTACAGAAGTTACAATGATTGCCTTAAAGAAAAAGACAAAAGCTACAAAATGCAGCGACCATCGCACAATAAGTCTTATTGCACATACAGCAAAGATAATAGCAAAGATACTTAAAAGAAGAATTGAAAGGAAAATAGAGGATGTACTTGGAGAAGATCAGTTTGGATTTAGAAGAGGAAAAGGAACCAGGGATGCAATTGGGATGATGAGAATTATAGCGGAACGAACTTTGGAGATAGATGAAGAACTGTGTGTTTGCTTCATAGACTGGCAGAAGGCATTTGACCGGGTAAACTGGACCAAATTAATGCAGATCCTGAAAGAAACAGGTATCGATTGGCATGAAAGAAGATTGATTAGCAAATTGTACATGGATCAGAAAGTTAGAGTACGACTGGACAGGGGGGAGACAGGAAGTGTGCAGATTGGAAGAGGAGTTCGACAAGGATGCTGTTTATCACCAATTCTGTTCAACTTGTACAGCGAATGCCTTACCAAGGAAGCTCTGGATGGGCTCGGTGACTTCAAAGTAGGAGGGCAAATTATTCAAACTGTGAAATATGCAGATGACCTTGTGTTAATGGCTAAGGAAGAAACTGTGCTACAGGGCATGATTGATAGACTAATTGAAATTGGAAGGTGCTATGGCATGGAAATGAATGTGGAGAAAACAAAAGTAATGAAAATTTCAAGACAACCAACCCCAGTCACAATAAAGATAGACCAAAAACAACTGGAGAATGTGAAATGTTTTAAATATTTGGGTAGCTTGTTAACAGATGATGGAAGGTGTACTTGTGAAATTAAATCCAGGATTGCCATGGCAAAAGCTGCATTTAGCAAGAAGAAGAATCTTTTTACCAGCAAATTGGACTTAAATTTGAGGAAGAAACTAGTGAAATGCTACATTTGGAGCATAGCTCTGTAAGGGGCTGAAACATGGACACTTAGGGCAGTAGATCAGAAACATCTGGAAAGTTTCGAAGTGTGTTGGAGAAGGATGGAGAAGATCAGTTGGACCGATTATGTGAGAAATGAAGAAGTGTTAATTAGGGTCAGTGAGCAGAGGAATATCCTACACGAAATAAGAAAACAGAAGGCTAATTGGATTGGTCATGTTTTACGCAGAAACTGCCTTCTAAAAGAAGTTATCGAAGGAAAGATAGAGGAGCGGATAGAAGTGACAAGAAGATGAGGAAGAAGACGTAAGAAGATGCTGGATGACCTTGGGGACAGAAGAGGATACTGTCATTTGAAGGAGAAAGCTCTAGATCGCATTAAATGGAGGAATTGTTTTGGAAGAGACTGTGGACCTGTTGTCTTAACAGATTACTGATGATGATGAGAGGTTCACAGTTGGTTTATGAAGGTAGTGCTTGTGTCTTGTTTTAACACTGTATGTCTGCATTGGTCCAAAATGTTCTTTGTTATTTCTAATAAAGTTTATTAATGAAAAATGTATTCACATGGAACAGTTAAGCTCTCTAGTCTCTTAAGTAGATCTCCACAAGAATTACAGGATTTGACACCTGTCATGATTCTAACAACTTTCTTTTGCAATGTAAATGCCTTTTTGCTGTCAGATGAATTACCCCAGAAAATTATTCCATACTTTATTAAAGAGTGAAAGTAAACAAAATAAATTGATTTGAGTGTCAGTGCTGCTGATATGCAACATAGATCTAACTACATAACATGCTTCACTTAGTTTTGGAACCAACTAATTGATATGGTTTTTCAAGTTTGAAAGATATAAATTTGTAAGCCAGGGAGTTTTGTGTTTTTCTGCTTCTTCTGTACATTTATCATTATATTCAATGTTTAGTGGATACTGTAGTAAGTTTTTGTTATAAATTTTATTACATTTGTTTTATCTACATTCAGGGATAGCTTGTTTGCAGAAAACCATTTACTCATTTGAAAGAGAACTTTGATAATACATAGAAATTATCTAAATTTTTACTAGAAATTATGACACTAGTGTCATCAGCAAATATTACGGGTATTGATGAGGTGTTTAGTTTATGAAGCAGACATTTGTATAGATTATGGGAAGCGAAGGCCCTAGGACCCATGGGGAACAGTGTGCCTTACTGTTTTCCAATTTCTATAGGCACTTTGGGTTGAAATTGATGATTTGATTTCAGTCTTTTGTTTTCTATCTGTTAGGTAGGATCTGAACCAACTTGCTGTTGTTCCTTGAATGCCAAAGATAAAAATGTAATTTAGTTAATAATAAATTTCGTAATTTACACAGTCAAAAGCGTTTGCCAAATCACAGAATATTCAGTCAACATTCACTTTTTTTAATAGATTTTAATGCACTGTCTGTTAGCCTAAAGGCTGCATTTTCTGTGGATATTCCTTTCATTAAGCCAAATTGTTCTGTGACTAGTATATTATTAGTCTGCAAATAATGGCTTAACTTACTGTGCATAACTTTCTCAAATACTTTAGAGAAAGTAGTTAGTAGTGAAATTGGTCTGTAATTTGACATATAGTTTTGTCCCCTTTTTCTTCAGTAGTCTTACTACTGAAATCTTGAGACAGTCAGGGAAGATCCCCATGAATATTAAGAGATTACAAATGTGAGTTAATGGGTGACTGATTAGAGATGAGAAAACTTTTAAAATTTTACTTGTTACACCTGATGTGTTTTTTTTCTTTGAGGGGATGTATTGTGCTTCTTATCTAAGTTTCAGTGTCAGCAAGTCCTTCATCTCAGGACGCTTGAGTAAAGAATGTCTCTGTCTCGCTGAGATATGTTCTCTGTAATGAAGGTGTAAGGTGAAAAAACCTTGCTTGACCTCTGTGCTGACAACATTTTTGCACAGATCACTTATTAGACATATGAACATTTTAGTACAAAATAAAGAAAAAGTTGTCCCATATCAGGAATGTTGAAACTGTTGAGATGTTTTTTTCCCCCAAATTTTGGTCCCTTTGCAGTTTATCAACTTTTTTTACGGACTGCAACGAGATCATACACCATACTGCAAATTTGTTTCATAGAATATCCCTTTTATTTATATGTGGTTTGCTTCCAGCCATTCTGCCATGCTTTTTAATCTTCATACTTACCTGTTGTTTTAACTTGGTTTTCACATTTGTGCTTCCTTCTGACTGCATCATAACTTGATCCACAGAGTACCAACAGTATAATGCTCCCAAGTAGAAAGCTGTAAACATGTAACATGAATATCATAATAGTAAACCCATATAATCTACAAAACTGATGTGCTGAAGATAAGTAGACTAATCAAATGAAGAACTCTTTATTTTTTCTCTTGTATCCATAAATCAAGTAACTACTGAACCTTAATAAGTGGATTATTCTATCAATAAAACTAATGAAAACTAAGAAATATTTGGGTTTTATAAAGGGAAGAAACTTCTTAACTACCATATATTAGTAAATTGACTCTTCAAAGAAGGTCATGCATTATACAATTACGTAGTTACCTAGATATAAAATCAACAATATCAGAAAAATAATTACATTTTTAGAAAATTAATAGTGAACATATTGCATTATGGGTAAACCAAGTCGATCTCTGTTAGAAAGTGTTGGTTTGGGGTGTATTTCAATTAGGAAAGTAGACAAATGGACAGAGTTGCCTGTCTATTACTTTTTTGTGTCTCTTAGTGATATTTTGTTATATTTTCTAGATAAAAACGAGAGAATAACTGTATACTGTCAATATAAGTACAGAAGAATTACAACTTACCACACAATGATATCTATCAATGTTAGTGGAAGCATGTTTTTTGTTTGGCAGTCTTCTTTGTTCACAGTAATAATGGAACTGATTCCAAGATCCTGAGATGCTGCATTAAAAGATTCTTGAAGTCCATTCCTTATGTCTAAAATATTGCACTGTGTTGGCACACATATACCAACATAAAGCCTGTCTCGGCGAAAATTGGTGAGGATTCTATTTGATTCCTGAAGATGAAAAGGTTATTAATCATTTCATTTATTGAATAATATTCATAAATCATCATTCAGTCCTACATGAAAGAAATTCAAATTCTATTTTACAGTAAGAATTTGCAGTTTGCAATCTTTTTCCAGTGAGTAAGTGAAATGTTTAAGTCAATAAGCATTTAAGTTGAACCTGCAAAAGTTTGGTCGTGGGAGATTCAGATTTTCTGAATAACATTTTAGTTGAAGACGCAAGGGTTTAGCTACAAGAAACTCAAAATTTCTAAATAATGGTGACATTATAGAAGTGCAATAGTTAAATAAATTTTTAATATAAATGCAAACCATTTATATCATACAATATAAATATAAAATTTAATATAAATTTTGAACTTGTAGTGAAATATTGTATCCATATGTTCCCATTTCCTGCATTATTTGCATGAAGTGCATAAAATGAATGCATAATGGGGATGTGTCATATGTCTGGCTAACTGTCTGGCAATCCATATGTACATTTACATTCCAAAAACTGCTTGGAAGATTTCAGTAAAGTATGATATTGGAGGCCCACATTAAAGGCTGTCAGCTGAATATAATTTTGTTTCTTATTAGACTGGTGTGCTAACCACTATTTTTGGTCACGCCATAGCTCAAGCGGTTAGTCGCTGGCTTTCTGCTGCGACAGCCAGTGTTCAATCCCGAGTCTGGTCAAGTGGGATTTGTGGTGGACAAAGTGGCGCTGGGGCATATTTTCTCCGAGTACTTCGGTATTGCCTGTCAATCTTCATTCCACCAATTGCTCCACAATCACCCTCACCTATCATCTGGGGCTGGTACACTAGGCCAGAAGTGGCTGCAGTACAAGGGACATAGTCCCACATCACTAGCAATAAAATAAAAACACAGTTTTACTAAGTTGTGATAAATCCTTAATTTTCTTCAGAATTGCTTCTTTCGTTTTGTCGTGTGGTAAGAACATGTAAATCTCTTTCATATGATTGACAGCCATACTGACTTGTAGTAATTAAGCCCTATATATAATATAGAATTAGAATACCATCTAAAGAGGTCAGTCTGAAAACAAAACAGTTTAAACAGGGTAGCACAATACCTGTATTCTCAGCCATAAATGAGACGAATTGTCTGCTGGTATCAGTTGTATTTGTGTCAAGCAGTATTGTGCTTCCAGTTTATACAAGCACTCACGGTAATCTCCCAGCTGGTAAATTGGTCCACTCAGGATTTTCTCTGGGTTGAATTCTCCATTACCTTAGACAGGAAATATGGGTAATTAATGGAAATTGCAGAGAGTACCAATCTCTGTGATGTGACATACAGTCTGATAGATCATTACTGATGTTTTGGAAGAACATGCCACTTTCCATCTTCATGATCACCACTATGAGAACATCAAATCTCACATATGAAATACAGCAAAATCCACATTTATGGTTTTGATTGGGTGGGGGGCAGTGGATTGAACACTCAACTGAGGAAAATCGTAAATGGAATAAATTTGACACCAAGATCATTGACTTGGAATCATTTAAATTCCACACAAAATGGGGTAAATCATAAATCAAAACACATTGAATGGGGGTGCCACTCTACATGGCTACTGCATTTCAATTCAGACTTCCTGGTATCCATAACAAGAGGTAGCCTTTGATCAGCTGGAGTCCAGATTTGGACCTGAACCAAGCAATGAACATGCCCTCAAATAATTTTATGTGGGTGATGAAATGGCTTGATCTGGCTGTAAATTTCTTCACTCATTTTCAAGAGGTAATTAGTTTGAATCTCAGCCAGAACATCGGCTATTCCATAAGGTTTCTCATGGTTTTCTTCAGTCCTTTGAGGTAAATGCTGGGATAATGCCTTAATTAACTGTTATCTCTTATTTCCAAATCCTTTTCAATCAATTATTCACCTGTCATCCTACCATTGAACAGTATATTGTCTAGCTACTAACAGAATTACAAAGTAACAAATAAAATAGTGTATGTGTATCCACAGAAAACTTTCTTTGACTTCTTCATATTAACACTCTGAAGACACAGAAGACATATACATTTAGACAGAATAATCTTGTTCCCTGCAGTGAACTAAATTAAGAAGTACACTTACATCTGGGGATGGATGGGTTGAGCTCTTCAATAATCGGATGTGTGGAGCTGTTCCAGCAGATAGCAGAAGTTAGACTGCAACCAGCAACACATAGCAGTAACACTGATGTGAAGTTCATCTTTAGTTCCTGTAAAATACTGAAACGCTAATCCCTCATGTATTATATATTCTGCTGTTTATGTTTGTCAGTAGCTATATAATGCTGTATAATGACCAGATGCAAATAAGTATGTACATATTTTTCAACTGGCCTTTTGACAATTTTAAATCAGAAAACTATACACCAATATTAAGTAGATTAAATTTATTTTATGTTAAGTCTTAACCTTCAACATGTGAACATATGAAAGTGTACAAGTGCAAAGTGGTGGCAGTTCCTAATGATTTTAGTGCTCTCTAGTGAATAGGAGACAAGCAATGACTGCTTCTTCCAGAATTCTCAGCAACTCATAGATTATCTAGACACTAGTTAGCTAATTAAAGCATATTTAAATGAAACCTATGGTACATACCATACAGATAAAATTTTGTCTGATATGTTTCCTATTTAGAATGGCTTGAAATAAGGTGATGTATTATCACTACTGCTTATCAATTTTGCTTTGGAATAGGCCATTAAGAACGTCCATGAAAACCAAGAGGAAATGAAATTGAATGGGATTCATCAGCTTCTGGTCTATGCAGATGACATTACTTTATTTAGGAAAACATAAATACAATGAATGAAAATGCAGAAGATTTATCACATGTTAAGAAGAAGGGTGGTTTAGAAGTAAATGCAGAGAACACTAGGTATATATTAATAATTTTAGGCTTTTGCGGTTATTAATTGTTGATGTTAATTCAATGCTTCAGTTGTTACACCATGTGGTTCTGGACAATGCTGCGAATATTTCAGAGGTGCGTGCTGCCTCCATTTTGGGGGTTGTAGCATATAAGATGGGTGAGCTTTTGTGTATATGTGGGACCCTGTTTTGAAAAACAAAGGAATAGGATAGGGTGAAGGGGGTTGGAGCCTCATATGTGCAAATAAGGACCATGGACCAGGAAAGGTGTGCAGCAGCCCTTTCAAGGGCCACAGAGTGCAACAAAAATCCAACCAGAACCTTAGGTACCCAAGTGGTCACCTATCAGAGTGCTCACCACATGTAATGTAACAGCATGGAGTAAGATCAGTATGGGTCTAAGGTAGACTTCAACAGGGACAAGAAAGGGGAAGAGTGTATCTTAAATGGAACATGTGCAATGGGTAGGTTGTGGTTAGTCTTCAATGGAGGGATGAGGGATACTCCCCAACCTGACACAGGATTTGTGGGAAGAGTATGTTTGTGGCATCCTTCCTGTTGCTTTGTCATATGGATGATCTCCTTCCAGCAGGGCTCATCTGTTAGCCAACTAGCCTATTAATGTTCTATGGCTTCTTGGATAACTCTGCTGGTGTAGTAGGGCAGGCTGACAAATGCTACTCAAAGTATATCTGATGCCCCTAGCTAATAGACTGCTCTGCACTCACAGAATGTTCCCTCTGGTACTCCTACAAGTGTTCTTCAATCATGCAGCCCGTCTCACTAGTGTAGATGTCCCCTCATCCACGTGGGATCCTGTAGACTCCTGGAGCATTTAATTCTAGGCTATCTATCACCTGCCCAAGATAGCTGTGTGTCTTGGGCGATGGAGGCTTTATAGTTTTTGTGTTGCACTGCACCAGTATTCTGTGGTTGGATAGGTTCTGCACATACAGTAGAAATGCTGTGCTGATAAGATTTCAGTAAGTGTTCTGTGCCTCAGTTTTTCCCTGGGCCCAAGCCCTCTGTGGTTCTGCCTGAGGATAACCATTCTTCCTGGAAGGACTTTTGAGGCAAGCTAGTATATGCTGATGGCTCTTCAGTGAATGCAGGACAAAACCACAACATAAAGGCAACTAATAAATCCTTTTAAAAATGTTGCAAAGATGAAATATGTGGGAATGACACTGACAAGTTATAATTGTTTTCATAAAGAAATTAATGGCAGATTAAAGTCAGTGAATGCCTTCCATCATTTCATTCTGATTCCTTTGTCTTATCATTGCTATGTGGAAAATAATGATTAAACATAAAAAATATAATCTTTCTTCCAGTTTTGCAACTGGTGTGAAAGTTGGTCTCTCACAGCAAGGGAAGAATACAGACTGAGGATGTTTGAGAACAGGGCGCTGATGAGAATATTTGGAGCTAAAGGGAATGAAGTAACAGGAATCTGGAGAAATTACATAATAAGGAGCTTTGTAATTGGTATTACTCTTCAAATATTCCTAGGATGATAAGATCAGGGACAGTAAAATGGGCAGGACATATAGCATACATGGGATAGAAGAGAAATGCAGTAAAACCTACAGGGAATACAGCACTATGAAGACATGGGCATAACTGGAAATTTGAGATGAAAATTGTCTGAAAGCTATTGTTGGAGAGTGTGGACTGGATTCATCTGGCTCAGACTGGGGACCAGGTGTTGGCCCTTATGAACACCGTAATGATTCTTTAGGTTCCATAAGCTCTTGGGAATTTCTTGAGTATATGCACAACAATTAACTTCAGAAGAATTATTCACCTCCACAGAGTTAGGTGTTCCAGTTAAAATATTAATTTGCTAACTAGATATTAAATTGGTAAGAACCTCGTTTTTTAAACAAGGTGCCTGACATATAGGAAGTTGGTACTCAAATTTCTGGCTGGGCTCATACAATTATAGATCATACATACAGAGACTTTAGATTCTGTATTCGCCTTTGAGTAAACACTGACCTAAATAATGAACACATGTCAAATCGACATGTTCGGCGACTTCAACTAGATGATCAAGTTACTGTAAGATTCAGTGACCGGCGTTTAATACATTATAGGTATTGTTTAATAGGTTGCTTGAGGCATGTGAAGTTGATATAGAAGCAAATTCTTGCCATGGGAACACCCCTACGAGGGCCGGCGTTTGTTTAATGGGACTTGTAGATTGTGGCCTCATTATTCTTTAGAACATGAAGAATGCCACTTGCCTCTAGGAAACGTCATTGGGGCGCCAGTTACGGTACTGCCGAAGGGAAAAATAAAAAGGCAAAAGTAAACGTGTCACTGTGCTTAATTGAACACTACAACGCGTAGTTGGTTGAGGCACTATGCTATAAGCCTGAAGATCGCGGGTTCGAATCCCGATGAGGTAGATTTTTTTTCAATTGACCTAATCATTCCAGCCACACTATCCCTGGGGTTGACTCAGCCTCTAACAACTGAGTACCAAAAATCTTCCTGGTGAGTGAAGTGTGGCCTGCGCGTAAGGCTGACAACCTTGCCGCCATCTGTGAGCCGACCGTCTAGATAATGTGGGAACCTCAACTTCTCACGACCCTATGGATCTTCACGGTCTGCTACAGGGATAGCTTTTCATTTTCTTTTACCTTTATATAAAGACGTTTGGGAACGTTGCGGTATAGCTTCACGCATATTTAACTCAACTCCAGATGGAGATGAGCGTTCAATTTTACGTCTTGGCCACATCCTCCCACCAGGGATGAAGCCCCCGGGTCTCCATTGAATAGGAGGCTGGGTGATCCCCAGAACCGATTTATGCGCTCTTGGTAAAGCTAAAAATATCTTGTTATAACAATACCTAAAATCAGATTCCTCGATCGACTATCTCGTAGCTTAGTTTATATACCGACTGTGCTAGAGAAAAGTAACTCACAAATTACATATCTTTATAAAACCAAAACATTTTAGTCTCCATCCCTTCATTTTACGCAGTGAGCCATTCAGATTATATCAAGGAAGCGTAACTGACTGACTTCCTGGAGCACAGATTTTCAGAAAATAGTAGCCCTTCAGTTACTTAATTAACCCTTAAATATTCGTTACTCTTCAGTCCACGCCGTCTTATCCCGTTTCACTAAGATCCACTTAAATAATTTACAGCCGTGTTAAATTGAATAGAACAAATTTCCTCCATTGCATAATTATCCCCCAGTTTAATTCCCGCTCGCGTATTTCCTCGCCTTTTTTGTCCGCACCAACTCCAGTTAGCATTCTAGCGTCTTATGCACGGGTAGACATGTGTCAGTTCGTCCTTAAGGATGAACGCGCAAATAGTTGTCGAGTGATCGGCTCCAGGGATGGATATGGATATTCACCTTTACATAGACGCTGCAGATCCGTGTAAAAGCGATAGATGAACAGTGTTTTCTGTGCGGTTAGTGCCAACAGGTTATAAACGGACAAGGTTTAGTCACTAACACGTGGTAGCTGGTGTCATAAATTCATACCAGGAAGAGCGGATCTGTTTAATTTGAAGGCTAGAAAAATATGGAAAAAGTGAAGACAGGAACAATAGCACTGTCTGGCATTATCTCATTATGCTTTCTACTTTCGATGTTTCGCAATCCCAGCATCAGAATCAGTCCCATTCGGAACAAGCAGAAGTCATACAAAATCACGATAACGAAAATGTTCGCAATATTGGTCAAGGCGAAGCCCGTCATAGAAAATATAAGAGGTTTAAACTTGGCAGCGGTCAAGCATACGACCGTTCAAGTGACCAGACTGCCGTTGTAGCGGAAGCTACTAGAAATAGTGCAAAATCTGCTGTACTGAGCCTGGACTGACAGAGGCCCTGTATATATGTACCAGTATTATATACATACTAGATATTAAGGGTCAATTGTAAATAAGTGTACATACTGACAATGGACTAATACAGGCTATGACTGACAAATGACAGACCTGACCTCTCGTCGGAGAGGGCGCCCCACAATAACAAGACTGTAACTGTCAAACAGTAATAAATATATATGGTTATGAGTCCCAAATGGGGCTCGACACCAAGACTGACTGACAGACTGACGGTCAGTCTCAATGTGACTTTGACTTTGACTTTGACTATACTCAGAATTGGGTCGAGTTCTAGAGATGACAGTCGAATATGATTGAGAAGAAATGGTAAGAAAGAATTAGACTGTGCCAAGAAGATTTCATATGTTAGTTCAAGTTATAATGAGACTGTGATAAATCCGTTGCCAGGATACGACTAATGAAGCCTAAGAAACCTAGTGCTTGTGGAACGGTGAACTGGAAAGTGTGTAGAATAGCGATAGCGCTGTATTGCCTGTAGTCCCGAACTATGTGAATATATAAGGTGCAATAAATCCAATCATATAATCCAAAACCCCGTCTATAGTCACTAATACACGTGACTATATATATAATAGCCGGAGTTCGTCTGTTCCACCCTGCTCGTCACACACACGACGCGACGTATAAGAAATTGATAGACAAGAGATGTTCCTCTTGTAGAGACAAGCACAGGATGTGTGTTAATTCTTCTGCAACGTAAACTGCTTCAATTTCAAGCTAATTTATTTCGTCATTACTTCCTCCACAATTGAAGCACTGGGATCGTGGCAACAGTAGGATCATGAAGACAAAGGGTTCGTAATCATCGTAGATTGTATAACAGCCGTGGTAAGGAGTCATGTTTACACTAGATCATGTTGTGATATGTTACTATCATTTTTTTATTTAATTCAAGATAATCTAGTTGTGTGCTTGAATAATTATAAATAATATACAGTTGACATTAACTTCGCCGATAAGCGGCGGTCATCGGTCTCTATAGTTCGCTTGCGGAATAAAGCCACTGAGTTTGTTAATATACAACAATTTGATGTATGTGAAATATGAAAAACGGCGGGGGACTACAGTTTTCTTTATGCATCCTGCTCCACATGAATTGTTCTGAAGGTGATGTGTTTTTGAATCCAGAAACCCAGAGACGTCAGATGTAAGCAACCACAACTTGCTTACTTACGTACTTACTCACTCACTCATGGATCTGAACCCTTCTTGAGGAGCCGCCAATTCTGCAACTACTCAAGAATTTCTCAGCATTTATGGAACCCGAAGGTTCATTACCGTGTTCAAAAGAGCCCTCCACTGGTCCCTATCCTGAGCCAGATCAATCCAATCCAGCCCATCCCATCCTATTTCTCTAAGATCCATTTTAATATTGTCCACCCACCTACGCCTTGGTCTTCCCAGTTGTCTCTTTCCTTCTGGCTTTCCCACCAATATCCTATATGCATTTCTCTTCTCTCCCATTCGTGCTACATGCCCTACCCACCTCATTCTCCTTGACTTGATCATTCTAATTATACTTTGAGAAGAGCACAAGTTATGAAGCTCCTCATTAAAGCAACTACAACGCCAACGAACAACAAAAATAGTTACTGACACCGTAGTGAAGATTTTTCTATACGAGAAAGCTAGTAAATAAATGAATCAGGTACGAAACTGGGGGTAGCATGGTCGGTGTAGCGACTGGCTACGGGCTGGACGACTGAGGGGTCGGAGTTTGAGTCCCGGTAGGGTCAAGCACTTTCTCTTCTACAAATCCTCCAGAACGGCTCTGGGGTTCACCCAACATTGTATCCAATGGGAACCGGTGAATCTTTCCCCGGAGGTAAAGCTGCAGGGGCGTGAAGCTGACCATTCACTTCCAGTTACTGCCGAGGTCAAGAAAATGTGAATCTGTACATCCATTCCCCTAAATGCCTTCATGGCGCAGTGCTTAATTCGTTGAGCACAGGGACAACTTTACCTTTACCTTTATGAAACTGGTTACTTATCTCTGAGAAAACTTGGCTTATTGCTCTTTTGTACTGTTGGGCAGTCAGGGGTTGTAAGGTAGACTTTCCGGGTTTACTAATGTATGATGCTGAGGCCTCTGCTGAAGTTAGTAACAAATTCTTGAGAACAATTATTAACCTTTATATCGGCTTCTAGTGAAAGTGAAGTTAGCGCTAGTTTCAGTTCACTGTCATAGAGCAGTCCCTCCTCAACAACTGAGGGGTTCGCATTCCTGAGGACGCTGCTACTGTCACGACCAAATGCCTTATGGCAGTGGTTCTCAAACTTTTTTACCTCTGAGGCCCTCCCCCCCTGACAAGCGAAAATACTCTCAGGCCCCCACCCTCTTTTTTATCAAAAAAGAAGTCATGGTATGTTTGACGTTTTATTCGGTTTATTTTGTGTTTTTCTACATAATATTTAGCAGTTTTTTTACTCCAAATTAAAGTATCACAATATTAGTCCTACAGTAAAAATTAGTTTTAACGCTTCCAATTAACCAAAATATGTATTGAAATGAAACGATATTTAAAAACAAATATTTAATTTTTTCTGCAAAGAAAATCAAACATTTAAATGTCAAAGTTCAGTGTGATGGATGGGCCTGCTTTTGAGAACAAAGTTTATCAAAACGTGGTGTAATATCAGAAATGGCCACTCTAACTTCTTTAGCAATATTTAGCCTTGAACGATACTTTGACTTTATAGCTGCCAAAGCAGAAAAGCCTGTCTCGCATAAGTAAGCTGTTGCGAAAGGAATCAGGATTTTCAATGCCTTTTGGTTCAAAGTTGGGAATTCCATGCCAATATGTATCCATAATTCCTTAAATTTACTTTTTAATGAAGTATCGCTAGTGAGATCGATGAGTTGTTCTTGCTCATTTACATTCAGAGATGATGGCCCAGGAGCATTTTCGAATGGATTTTTAATCTAATTAAATTCATCAAAATCATTGCAAAAGTATTTCTTGAAACGAACTTTCAACATTATGAGATGATCAAGAAGGCAGCTTTTTATGTCCACTGGAGGCGCTGGATTATCGGTGTCGTGTACCGTTGACACCAGAGTAGGGAACATGTCTAGCGTGTCACTTTCCATGCTGTTTCTCCAGAGCTCTAATTTTCTCATGAATGCCTTCACTTTGTCATTCCAAGAAAGTAAAGTTGCCTCATTCCCTTGAAGTGAAGTGCTGAGGATATTTAGTTTCTCAAGTATATCTGTGAAGTAAGCCATTTTCAATAAAAATTCCTTGTTGTTGAAACTGTCTGCCAGTGAGTGATTTTTCCCATTTAAAAAACAGAACACCTCATTCCTCGGTTTAAACACTCTCATTAATACCTTGCCTCTTGAAAGCCATCGAGCATCACTTAAAAACAACAGAGCAGTGTGTTCGGCACCCATTTCCTCACACAGCATTTTCAAAAGTCTAGACTTCAGAGGATGCGGCTGCTGCCGCCGAACTATCAACGCTGCCTCTGGCATACGCGTTTTATAATTGCCGGTAAAGAGAATAATTATTAGTTATTTTGAAATTCACGATAATTAAAGCCTGTACTCATCAAAAGTTTTTCTATATGTATTTTTATTTTTTGTTACTTTTCTAATTGATTTAGGGCAGTTTTAACTTTTATCTGTAGGAAAGTATGCTGCGCCCCCCTTTCAAGCCCTTCGCCCCCCCTCCACGTGGGGGTCGCCCCCCACAGTTTGAGAACCACTACCTTATGGGAAATTCGTGAGCCACAGCCGCTATTAGCACGCCTTAAAACATGAATCGCCTATTCCTTCGTTGAGTGTAAATACGTGTACATAGTGTAATAACGTGCTTTAGAATGTATTAGTCATAAAGTGCTAATAAAAATTGCCAGAAAGAAAAACACATACGTGTAAGTTGTAATCTGGAAGATAGAAAACTTCTTTTGATACCGTTAGAGCCCTGCCCCCCCCTCCCCACCTATCATATATGTATCTCTTGATGCGGAAATCACCGACTTTTCCATGGGCACACAAATACAAAACCGTGGATACTTAAAACAATTGTTACTGCTGGTATAACTGGATAGAAATTGAAGACAGTGTTTTTCTTTTCTTAGTGGGGTGGGACTAAGTCCACTTGGTAATGCGGCCACTTCTGAACTATTGTACCAGCCCCAGATGATAGATGAGGGTGATTGTGGGGCAGTTGGTGGAATGAAGATTGGCAGGGGAAACCGAAGTACTCGGAGAAAGCCTCCCATAGCGCAGGTTTGCCCACCACAAATCCCATATGACCTGACCCGGGCTCCAACCCGGACCACCGCCCTGGGAAAGACACGACTAACCGCTTGAGCTATGGCGCGGCCTTAAGACAGTGGTTCGTATCGTATTACTGTGATTTGTCCGCATGTCCTTTAATTCGTATGGCGTTAGTCACTTGCACGGCTGTGAAAAAACACCGAAAGCTAGTCGAAATATTTCACTTAACTGAACAATGAACTCAGTATTTAGTTATGGATATGATACTTTTGTTTTTAAATTTTCTTGTATTTTAGTAGAGGAAAGAAAGTAGGTATATTATGCCAGTTGGGTTAAAAGACACACCTTCAATCGCATTATTTCTCCAGCGTTCATTCGATAGCTTTGTAATTAGTACGTTATCAGTAGGCGAACGTTAATTGGAAACAATTTCTGAAATAATAGGCTACAGAAACGAAACATACCTTGTGCTTCCTTGTCTGGCAGACAGCTGACCCGCATTCCCAGGACATTAAATATTTAGGAAGAACACAATAGGATTCATATTTAATCCAAAATACTCCATTCTGATTGGCTCTTCTGTTAAGTAACACTACTATAACTATTTCTCATTGGCTAAATACACTCGACTTCAGATCAGCATTGACAAAACTTTCACATATGACTCTACAGATGCTTCATACGCGGAAGCGTGGAGATCGCAACTACTAAGAATACGAATAGTCGAAAAAAAAAGCAGTGTTTCTTCATATAAAACAGTTTCGCCAGATACGTGACAAGCAGGTCTACACGGGTGAGTCATTCGATACCGGGAAGTCTGTAAGCATATTCACAGGATAAGAGCGCAAAATGCCTCTGAGTGTGACCGCTTAAGTTTTAACAGATTTCTGAGAGGCCAGTTGTCGCTCAACTTGTCAATAAATATGTCGCCTTTTGTGGATCCTAAGGGCGAAGGCACACCAAAGAAACTGGCAACCGCAACGCAACCGCAATTTCCGAGAATGGTTATCAGTCTGAGTTGAACACATGTTACTGAATGGAGCAGCGCAATTTGAGGAAATGGTAACGCAGTTGCGCAGCTCCATTCAGTAACATATGTTCAACTCAGACTGATAACCATTCTCGGAAATTGCGGTTGCCAGTTTCCTTGGCGTGCCCTTGCCCTAAAGTTATATTACTGAGTTCATGGAAGTTCATCACTGGTCCTGAGGCAGGAGGAAGAGGTCCAGATCCTCACATCCTATTTATTTCTTATTCATCTTACAATCGCTTCCATCTACACTTATGCCTCCCAAATAGCCGCTTCCTGAGAGATATTCTTACCAAAATATTATATGCATTCTTCATCCCTCACATGGATGCTCTATGTCTCACCCTCCTCATCCTCCTTGGCTTTATCACTTTAATAATATTTTATAAATGGTAAATTATGAAGCTCCCAATTGTGCAGTTTTCTCCGACCCTCTGACCGCTTCAATTTTACATATATGATCGCATTTCCATTAAATAAACAACGGAGAAGCATACTTGACTTCAAACCTGGTTTATGCCCCCGTTTCTGTTCGCAGTTAAAGTTGAGGATACGTTTTAACGTGCTGGGCAATCATAAGTTGGCAGTCATGGATAAACCTAGTTCTTCTTCTCCACTTGGTATTCACTACTGAAATCAAGACAAGTACACGAACTTCCGTATTATCCCAAATATTAAGCTAGGGTCTCCTTCAAGTACTCTTTCTTAGAAAAGAGGGATGGCCCTGTTTTGGGGTTGTTAAGAGTAAATGTGGAGAAGATTATTGTGAATAGTTCTAATTGCTACCTCGAATCATATTTAAAGTATTAAATTATGAATTTTTTATTTTTAATAGTAGAGCTTTTATTTCTTTTTGCTTACAACCTTCATAATTATGAAGGTAGCAGGTAGCATATAGCAGTCCATGGAGGCTTGTGAGACGTTGAGGCTCCCACATTTTCTAGGCAATTGGCTCACAGATTGCTGTGAGGTTGTCAGCCTTATGAGCCGGCCACCCTTTAACCACAGAATGACTCCTGGTACTCATTTATGTTAAGAGGCCGAGTCGACCCCAGGGCCATAGTGCGGCTGGAAGGATTAGGTAAATTGAAGAATCCAATAACCTCATCGAGAATCGTACCCACGACTTTCTCGCTTATAGTATAGTGTCTCAAGCAAGTATGGCGACTGGCTACAAGTTGGACGACGGAAGGGTCGTAGTTCGAGTCTCGGTAGGGTCAAGAATTTTCTGTTCTCCGTGTTGTCCAGACCGGCTCTGGGGCCTATCCAGCCTCCTATCCAGTGGGTACCGGGGGTAAAGTGGCCGTAGCGTAAAGCTAACCACTCATCTCCAACTATTGCCGAGGTCAAGAAAATGTGGATCTATACTTCCACTCCACCATACGCCTTTATGGCGTAGTGCTTAATTAGTTAAGCACAGGGACAACTTTAACTTTTTACCTTACCCTCATAAGTAAATGGCATATTCCATTCTAAAATAATTCTCTGTGAATTTCCCATTGCCTTATATTCCTATTTGCACTGTAATTAATGTTACGTAGAACTTTCATTTATAGCAGCTGGACAGAAATTATAAATGTGACCTCAGCATTACAGTAGCAATAAACAGTGCTTTGCTTTTGTGCTCCGCATACCGGCAAACACCCTTGTTAGTCCCCTCTGTAGAAGCGATGCGCCTTCAAAAACGTCTCTACTCCATATTCGAAGGTTAGGGCTACTCGCCCTCACCTTACATACGCAGACCGTCACTGAAAGAAGTGATACAGTACCAGCTTTTATGCACACCCATTTTTTTCGGTCCCACTCCAATAACAGTTGCATCATCATTATCAGAAATATTATATTCTTATTTAATGAAAAATATTTAAAAGTTTTATAATTAAAATCGCCGCTAGTTACTTAGCTAAATATCTTTTTGAACCTGAAAGTTTATTGCCGTCTTCACAAGACCCTTTCATTAGTCCATATCTTGAGCGAAATAAGTCCAGTCCACAGCAACACATCCTATTTCTCTAAGATTTATTTTAATATTATCCTTCCACCTACGTCTGGGTCTTCCTTGTGGTCTGTTTTTCTGGCTTTCTCACCAAAATCCTATATGCATTCTTCTGCTCCCCAATCCCCATGCGTGCTACGTGACTTTCCCATTTCATCCTCCTTGACTTGAACATTCTCATTATATTTGGCGAAGAGTACCAGTTATGAAGCTTCTAATTATGCAATTTTCCGGGTTTCCAAATATATTGAAAATATGCCTATCTTATGTGACAACTTCATTATAACTTTAGTATGTAGAAATATGTTTAAAATATGTAATCCACAATACAGGTAATTAATGTTATCGCTTACAGTAATGTAAGAACAGTGACCACATCAAATCGCAGTCTGCAATATTTGTGTAATGTGTCTCTGTGGAGAATTTTAATTCGATAGGTTGAATCGCCATCTTGAAGTGTTCTGAGTTTTCTGAAACTTTGTTCTAGTTGCTCAATTTATATCTGTATGGATAACATAAACACTGTATTTCACACCACATGAAAGTACATACATAATGGCGTGCGCTCAGCTGTTGCTTAACTGATTTCTAACTGTATTTCGTAGAATTAAAATACCAGATGCATCATGACTAGGGACCGAATTTTAATGCAAATGCATATTTCTATCTTGCAATCAGAAAGTATGCTCGTTTGAATATATGTATGAATTACTTAATTTCTTAAATTTTGTACATGGTTTGAATGTACATATAAATGCATACTTTTCCTGCTTTATGAATAAGCATCATATATTCGAAGACCTCTATTTATTCTGCATATTTCCTTTTTAAAATATTTATCATATATATTTTTTAAGTTTATGTTCAAATTTTCAATCATGGTCGTGTGTATAGAATTTTTCTTTTCCGTATTAGAATATGTTGCATATTTGACTCAACATTTAGTCGTGATTCATGTTTCTGATGCAATACCCAGGACGGGACTTCCCCGATCCCTCTACTCGTAACTTGCCTCCT